TCGACAAATAATGAAAAAAATACCTAATGAAACATGCGGCAAGGAGTTTCTACATTTCATGCTAGGTAAGATTTACAAGCTGCTGTCATAGCGAAAGCAGAAAAAATAAATGAAAAAAACAAATAAATCAAAAAAACACTTGATTCAGTCTTTAACACCGTTTTCATAGATCCAGACATATATTTCAAGGGGACAAGACTGCATGACTCAGAAAGGTCGAAAAACGAGCGCGTCTAATTTCTGTCGATCTTTCTAAAGCATTTAGAGTCAAACTACGGAATTCCCTGAGCAGTTTAGGACATTCTGTGCCAATATATGTCCGAATTTATGAAAACCGTGTTAAAGACTTTGCACCAAAATAACGGGCATGGTTTTGGAAAATCGGTTAGATATAAAATACCTCAAACCATGGTTTCAACTACCATGAAGATGTCTCGCAGAAGCAACTTGACAACAAAGAGTCGCTTACCACAGTTCGGCAGATCACTTCAAAGTGAATCTTCCTGGCAGAAACTTATTAGAAGCACAATGGGAAACAATGTGTAGTTAATTACAAAATATCCAAGAATTGTTCTAAGTTAAGGGTATCGCGTAAAAGTAAGGGTGGATGCGTGACGCTAGAAATTTTGGCAAGTGAAATCTTTTTTGTTCTTTTCTAAGGACGTTAACTTCAGAAACTTTTACAATGGAACCCCAAACGTGTTTGTTTCTGCTGATCATTCATCAAAAGGAGGGAATCTAAGTCCAGTTCACAATGGTATAACTCCTTGGATAGAGGTAAGATCATTGATTTACAATTGTGTTTGTGATGCCTACTAATCTAAACAACGTCACAGCAAAAAAAATTACATTTTGGATTTCTTCTTCCTACATAAGTAATCCTTTGTAAATTCTTTTCATTCCACAGTATATCAACAAGACTGGTTTCCGCGTTTGTTTCAAAGAATTATTTGAAGTAAAATACGACCCTCTGTCCATTTCTTACGCTGTTTTGTCAGGTAGAAGTTGAGTTTTTTTACACTATAGTATAAACTAATTTTCAGCATTTCCTACTCCCATTAAAGCCATATATTCTTGGGTTTTTCAATTCTGATTGGTTGTAGCTCTAGTGCATCGAAAGAATAGATCTAAGTAATGTACTTGCGAGGAGTAGAAATTCTTCCTATCAACCACACATTCCAAGAAACGTCGAGTTCAACCTTGCTATAATCTTGCTTAAGAGCAAAATCTCTCGCATAGCTTGTAGTTGTAATCAGTGGTACAAAAGATCAACAAATGAGTGGTATTCTAGAGATTCTCATTCAGAACTTCATAACACTTTTTTTTTTCTGGAAGGAAGCTGAAAAAGGACGGAAGTGTCAGTGAAGGCTCAAATTCCATTTTACAGGAAAATGAAATGATTCGTTGACTATCCGAGTGACATTCACAGAATCACAACTTAAAGCAACCAAAGAAGTTCCCTTCAGGGATAATCACCGTGCGTTGGCTTGGTTGATTCATAGCCTACGAAAAACCTTTACCAACCTCTTAAATCACTAGCTGGTTAACAATTATTACTTTTTCCTTACACATGCAGAGATATGCCGGCCTGGATGGGGTTATTTCAATGGTTATTGCTATTTCACCAGTTCTGAATGCTCTTCTTGGCTAACAGCTGTGTCAAATTGTTCTACGATGGGCGCGCATCTCGTGACGGTTCACAACCAAGAGGAAAACGTATACATTCAACACCGTCATAACGGAAAGAGATCCTGGATAGGGTTGAATGATCGAAGCGTGGAAGGCTCGTTTGTGTGGACAAACAGAGAGATAAATGGGTTTAGGTTCTGGGCTCCAAAACAACCAAACAATCACAAAAATCAAGACTGCGTACACACTCTTGGTGCGAAGGAAGGGTACACTTGGGATGACGTGTCATGCAATAACTGTTACAACTTTACTTGTTTAAAAGGTATAAGAGAGTCGAAGCAAATTCCCAATCTACTATGAATTTTCATGGTTTAAAACAAGTCTGTAATAAGAAAGCTTAATCTACTACCTTTTGAAGTTTTTTTTAAAATTTAGTGGGCGCCAGATCACGTGTATACCGTTGTGTAGTGTTATAATCTATTTTCCTTCCATGTTCTCGTGAAAATCAGTGGATTGTTTTTTCTCAGGGTCGTTTTTGGGGGTTATATGCATACACCAGCATTGTGTCCAGGATAACCTTATCGTTTTGACTCCTACAACATGTAAAAAGGATATTTGTCGACAGCGAAGTGTCTCAAAATGTGACAAAATGGATCCTGTTGCCCTTTGATGTTCCTTGGATACAACATATTGTCCCCCTTCACATAACTAAAGCAGACCCACAGCTACTCACTGCTACGTAATACCTTTTAAGTTATCATTGGTTAGCAGTGTCTGTTCAAAATGTTTTCCAAAGCAATAACCTTGTAAATACCTAAGCGACAGTCTTGCCTATCCTTTTCTATACTAAGCTAAAGAAATCACTACTCTTTATCCTACCTCCTCCGTTAAAAGGTAAACTTTTTGAGTGGAGCCTACTTGTATAATCCACCGGCTTGACCAAACTACTCGCATTATATGCCGCCGATCAAATAGCAACAAGAACTGGATACTATTAGGCACAAATATTTTTTTTTTTCTACGGGCAATATCATACTTGTTATGCATAGATAAGTGGTAGAACCTGCAAAAAGACTAAGAGGGACTTTTATTCCTTTAGATTTGATAATATCTTTAAATTGTATTTAATAACAATTTTACATGGGTGTCCCCAATTAGTTTCTGTAGTGAAGCTAGAACGAAGGACACATTAATAAAGTTATTATTATCATCATTATTATAATTTTATTATTATTATTATTATTACAATGATTATTATTCATATAGGACTAACCAACACACATTCTTATCCCTAGTTATAGACGAGTGTGCTACTAATCACCATAGCTGTGATTTCAACGTAATTTGTCGGAATATTGTGGGATCATACAATTGTGCTTGCAAAAATGGTTTCCATGGGAATGGAAGAAAATGTTTTGATAACAAGAAACGTTTTAATATTCTATTTTCTTAATTGAAATAAGCGAAATCAAGTACCTTACAATTAGACTATAAAAACAAAAGAGCGAGTCTTGAAATCAAATAATTTTCTTTCCTTGAGGAGCGGTTATATAACGAAATCTGTGGCCTCGTGGGCGGTACCTCGTTATGTGGCTGAAAGAGGACGTGCCGCTGGATAGAGTGTGATTTTCAGGGTCTTTCCTCTTGAGCAACGAATACATGTTCCCAATTTTCTTATTATTCATCGGAGATATTACCCCTCCGGTCCTTGTGTAACGTGGTACCAGCTCGCTTATATGACACTCTTCCTATCTCTGAGTTACTTGAAACTGTATCATACTATATTAAACCAAAAGATGACACTTTTCTTAACCGTTCGGTATTTGCACATAGCGCTTCTAAGTTTCGTTATTCTTAAAACAGCAATGTGATACTTCGGTTTAAATACAAATGGATTCGCAAGAAAATAAATCTAGATTTTCTTAAACAGAGTAATTAAATCAATGGATTTTTAACTTATACAGGATCGGGGTTTGAAGGCGGGAGCGGTAACACCCCAACCAAGCTTCAGTTTCGTGCCCCTTGCCACGCTTCAGTAACCCTGGTGTAGAGCATGCAAGTAACTAGAAAATATCGCAGCATTTTATCAAACTGACTTCAAGTGTTTTTCCTTTTCTTTCATTAGATATAGACGAGTGTAGCACCAACTCCCACAGCTGTGATGCTAATGCTATTTGTAATAACACGGAGGGAGGCCATAACTGTGCCTGCAAAGATGGATTCATTGGAAATGGAAGAAACTGTACTGGTATATATCCACTATATTCTCACACTAATAATAGCTTTAACACTTTTCTAAGTGCACGACTCTGAGTCCACGTAATTGAATAATGTATTAAAATCTGAAGCAAAAGAAATGGCTAGCATTATTCATATAAAACACAAGCCGCTAGCTGATTCATTTAGATGTTTTAGATGTAGACGAATGCACCACTAAGTCCCATAGCTGTGATGTCAATGCTGTGTGCCACAATACCAAAGGATCTTACAAATGTACATGTAAAGTTGGATACATTGGAAAAGGCGAAAAATGTCCCGCTGGTGATTATGCAACGTCCTTATATCCTTAGTTATTTATTTAGGAAAATATATTTACAAAGGGCGGCTTGTTGCTTACATGATGAGGAAATAGCCTCCAAAGTATAAATACTTTCTTTGTGAAATATTCGGTTTGTTTGATTCATATTTTTGGTCGTTGTAATGCTTTTCCAGAACTCAGCATCGCTGTTAGTCAACCACTGTAACTTTTCCCTATTTCATGGGAAGTGCCTTTAGACAGCAGACTTCTGTTCTTAAAATAGGAGGCAATTCAGACTATGTTAGATTTATAAAACTCGAGCAATCATTAATGCGTTATTGACCCAGCGTAAGATCAGTCTACGCTGGCACACACGAAACCATTCTCTCCTAGGATAGAGCGGGCAATTCAGAGCGGGAAAATCAGCCCTCTCTTTTCCTTTTGGATTGCCCGTGACAGCCCAGGGTTTGGTTCATATCATTTTCCACGCTTTTGGGGCTAGCCAAACAACAGAAATAAATTTTCGTAGTGAACAAAGAATTCGGGAAATAGTATTTTAGTTTCTCAGGCCGAGAAAAAAAATCGAAACTACATGCAATTCCTTGAAAGCTGATCCAAACTTCCCAATGAAAAAGGCGAGAGGAAATTCTGAGTACAATTTTTCTTTATCGGCCAGTACAGGGTCTTCCGCCAGTTTCTGAAATATACGCGGCTACTGAGCGCCGTTCCAGGCGCTCCGTGCAAATTTTGCTTAATTGAACATGTCCATTCCCTTCGGTATTCCCGTTTTGGAATTTGCGAACCATTCGCCCAAACCGTAAACCAGCCGGTTTGTTCGTAAAACAACCCCCCGTAATAAAACGTCATGTCGCTCTCTAACTTAAATTAACCAAAAAGGAATATTTAACTTTCGTCAAATTTTACGTATAGGTGATATTTGTTTTCTGGCCAGCAAAGATCATTATAGTCTTATTGCTTGTTTTCAAATGCGAAGTTAACTAAGGCCTCGTCCACCCGTATCCGGATATTTTTGAATCCGCAACTTTTTCTTTCCGGATTCAAAAATTTCGCTGTCCACACGTAGCGTATTCAAATCGAATTCGCGTGTCCACACGCATCCGATACATCCGTGTCCACACGCATCCGGATTCACTCTTACTAGAGGAACTAGGTCCACACCTTGTGCCGCCATATTGGTTTATTGTTGGGTACTCAGACGGGACATGATTTTGCTACGTCCTAGGATTCGAAAATAACCGGATTCACCGTCCACACCCCATTGGATTCGTTGTGGATTTGTTTTTTTTCTACTCTGGAGAGCGGATTTAAAAATATCCGGATTCGCTGCCAAATTTTCCGGGTGCATGTGGACGGAAGCCGTATCCGGAAAGAAAAACTTGCGGATTCAAAAATATCCGGATACGTATGAATGCGCCCAAGATTCAAGCGTTAAATAATTTTTTTTCCAGAGATCAGTCATTTAATTAATTTCACTGTTTTACCCTCTCATTTAAAAGTTACACTCTCACCTCACCGGCATTACATGCAAAGTAAGCAAATTTTGTTGTCATTTTCACACGTGAGCTCAATTTCTCGTATATAATGTACTATTTGCAGGTTATTACAAAAACTGCGCCGAAGTTTACAAGTCCGGTCAGAAGATCAGTGGTGTGTACAAAATCGATCCTGATGGTTTGGGTGAATTTGAAGTCTTCTGTGATCACAAAACAACCAGTAGCGGGTGGACAGTGTTCCAGAAGAGACTGGATGGCTCGGTTGATTTCTACCGCGGTTGGGATGACTACAAACGAGGCTTCGGAAATCTGAACGGTGAATTTTGGCTCGGATTGGACAAGATTCATCGCCTGACGAAACAACGAAGCAGGCTTCGAGTGGATCTTGAAGACACGATTGGAAAAACAGCTTACGCCGAGTACGATTTCTTTGATGTGGCTAGTGAGAATAGCAAATACAAACTGAGTCTTGGAACATACTCTGGTATGTTTTTTTCACGGTTCTCCTTCTCTAATAGGAAGTTAAAGTTCTTTNTACGATTTCTTTGATGTGGCTAGTGAGAATAGCAAATACAAACTGAGTCTTGGAACATACTCTGGTATGTTTTTTTCACGGTTCTCCTTCTCTAATAGGAAGTTAAAGTTCTTTACACATTTTGGAAAATCAGTTTTAGGCACTCACCATTGTGTGACAGCACTATTTAACCAGCAGTAGCAAAATTTCCATTGACAAGGGCTGATCAGTCCTGGATCAGTCTTTCAGTTTTACATATAATTTAAATATAATTTGTTACCTACAAAAGACTCACTTGTTACGGTAAAATGTTTCCCGAGAGCACCATGTCTGACACCATTTTGTAATTTTCCATTTTTATGTGACTTTGTAGGAACTGCTGGTGATTCTCTTTCTTATCATAGTGGTTTAGCGTTCTCCACCAAAGATCGCGACAGTGACAAGAATCCTAACAACTGTGCCAGCATATTCAAAGGGGCCTGGTGGTTCAATAATTGTGTCATCTCCGACCTGAATGGTGAATATCTTCACGGCCAACATTCTTCGTCCTGGGCCGGTGTGACCTGGTATCACTGGAAAGGTCACAGCTACTCCGTTAAACGAGCTGAGATGAAAATCAAACCAGTTAAAAACTAGAACCAAGCGTACTTGTACGGGTTTTAAATGGCATTAGTCACTTGATTCCTGAATTGAGCGAGCTTTTCTATAGCCTGAGTTTCTTGTGCCATTTTATCGCTGGTGTGATCATCAGATCTAGAGCGATTTCTTAATACGTGATGGGTTTATATATTACTTGTGTACATGAACAACTCGCTTCATTGTATGACTTATCAGGAAACAATAAAAGCTGCTGTTGTTCTATCCATTTGCCTGTCATGAAATATGAAACACTTGCCTGCTTCCCAAGCATCGAATATTTATTTTTATCTGATGACTGAACGAAACTTTTTGGTCTTTTCAGTTTTTCAGTTTGGTACCTGGCTATCAAATAAAATTACACAACTCATGTGAGGGAAAAGAAAGTGAGTGAAATAATTACACACTGTCACTTTCTTTGATTGTCCTTTAAAATTTTACTGCAAAATCGATGCAAGTGGCACAATGATCATTGTTCTTCCCATATAAAAACGACTTCGACTTACAGGATAATTACACAACCGAGGGTTAACGTCTGCAATAAACTTTATCCTGCCACTCAGTCTTGGACGCTTCCTCAGTTTGCCTTGTACTTGCCATACCCCACCCCCAGCACAATTTTTTTCCCAAAACTTTCTGTTTTCTCCATAATTCTGACCATGCAATTGACCTATCTAAGTCTCTAACGAGCAAAGTTTGGGCCGATAAACGATCTTATGCATTTTTGGTTAAAATCCATGATTACGTCTGACCAAGTTATAACGATAAAAAAAAAAAACCAAAATACTTAATACCTTTTCTATGCAATATTAGGCTATTAAGCCCTCCCCCCTTCTCAAATAAGCCCCCCTTTTTCAGAAGGAGAAAGTTATTAAGCCTCCCCCTCTCTTTTAAGCTCCCCTTCCCCCCTTATTCCACACAATCAAGTTAATAAATAAAAGACTGTATTTGCAATATAACTTCCACGGCTTTACCACTCCACGTGGACTGATCCGATGGTTTATTCACGCACTAAAAGTTCGAATTTGTTTTTTTTCTCTGGCTGCATGACTTCCAACTTCATGTGCTTGAAATTTTCCACTCAAATCTCCATACAGTCAAACCTCTATATAACGGCCCTGTATATAGCGGTCACCCTGTGTATAACGGTCACTGAACAACTTCCCAAAACTCGTCCCTTATATTTACTTTTAAGTTAACCTGCATATAGCGGTCACCTGTATATAACGGACGCAGTCACCCTTTAGACTTCCTGAATCCACCATTTCATTATCTTTTACCTGTATATAACGGTCACGAAATTGGGTTACAGTTAACGAATAATGACAAGCTTTATTCATCAGCTCGTTTAATAGCAGCCACCAAGGCAGGGTCTCACAAAAATACAAATAATAGTACTAAACACAACTACTAATACATGTCATCGCCTACGTCCGACACATGCTTGCTGCAGATAAAATTAAAGTGCCGTCATTTTTAAACAATAGTTACTGTAACTGTAACAACACAAGCGTGCCACACTGTTTTCACTTTCGTCGTAGTTTCGTGATTATAACACTGTACCGTACTTATCTGTTTCAAATTGTTGTCAATAAATTTAAATTGAGTGATTTTCCACTTAAAAAGCGTTGTTCATTAGCTTTCAGTAGACCTTTCCCGCACCTCCCTGAAAGTACACCACGGACATTTTAAGGGCCTTTTTTATCGTGTTTGTTCCGTTACTGTTACTCGTTACTGTCAATAAAACGTAAATTGAGTGATTATCTGCACATAAAAATGCCATTTATTGACTTTCAGGGGAGTTTAAAGCAAACCTGTGTACAGCGGTCACCCTGTATATAACGGTTACCTAGCCATTTCCCAAGGGTGACCGTTACATACAGGTTTGACTGTAATAGTCATTGCCCAGGTCCAAAACAGAAAGTAGGTAAGCGTAACCCTAGTCTGTCTCTACCTCTTTTTAATACCGGTAATGCGTTTCGCTAGGAATTACATAAGCCCCCCTCCCTCTCAAATTATCCCCCCTTCTCACAAGCCTTCCTTGAAACAAATAAGTCCCCCCGGGGGGAGAGGGGGCTTAATAGAGGACTTACGATAATTCATTCCTGTCGAACATTTGCGTAGTTATTTGTTTACATGTTTCTTCGTTTTACTAAACTATCTCTTTACTGAAAAAAGTGGGAGGTGGGGTAAAGCTTCCCAGCCCCACCCCCACTGCGCGGTACTTGTATGCAGCGCCAATGAACAAACAAAGTGACATTCAGTAACAACGTCTTAAGATTATTCACGACAAGAAAAAGGTTCTCGCTCAATTTGAAGTAAACACCGCGTTATCTGTTGAGGTTGGCTTGAACTGGCTGAGCCAAAGAAATATTTAGAGTCGAAAAGGTTATGTTCTCATTCGAAATGCAAGAACACAAAAAGAAAGATGCTTACAAATTAAAGTGTTGAGGATTTGTATAAATATNACTGGCTGAGCCAAAGAAATATTTAGAGTCGAAAAGGTTATGTTCTCATTCGAAATGCAAGAACACAAAAAGAAAGATGCTTACAAATTAAAGTGTTGAGGATTTGTATAAATATCGACAGAAAGCCAACTTGATCGTTTCATTCAGCAGTGATTTACTCACGCGATTTCTGAGGTACTAAATAATGAGTCTTGATGGATTTTCGTATTACTGATGTTTGTCGTCTGAATCAGGCAAAAATTCATCCTACAGCTGCAGTACGCAAAATTTTAACTGCGTAAAGGAAAACTTGGTTCCAGTTTCGTCAAGAAACTGTTCTGAAGAATAAGTCGAAAAACTCGATGTTGAAATATAGAAATTCTTACTTCAAACAATGGGTATTGTCAAATTAAGGCAAAACTGTATTGAAAGAGAGCTGTTTGGGGTTTCTGTTTGTTTGGGTTTTTCTTTCGTAAAACAATACATCGTCTCTATGCTAATTCAAAAGTAAAAAATAAACATGCAGGCGAGCGTAATTCTAATGTCAATAACAGTTCACGCGAGCCACGGTAAACAAAAAAGGGTTTTTTGATTTGTTTCCAACGACGTCAGATCGGCGAGGAAAAATCTTCAATAAATAATTCGTTACGTAAGTAATCCCTTATAAGAATGAAAGTAAATTGACTAGTTGATCACTGCTGTCAAATTCATGTACATTTTATTTTTAAACAAGACTTCCTGTCTCTTCTTCACCAAGAAAGCAAAATCTTGCAGAAAGTTTTTTTCGCTGATTTCTAGCAATCAGAAAGCATCTTTCTTGTATTTTTGTTATCCGAGGGACTATTTGATATTTCAACGATCCACGAAAGTTGCATGACTTGGGGTATCTTAATGTTTTCTCTCATGCATTTAAGGTGGGAAATATTGAAAAGTACGCGAAAGATGAATCACAAAGTCTTTAATTCTATTAATTGTCTGAGACAATGCCGTAAAGGGGAGCCGGTGTATTAATATCACCTGACTTGACCGGTGAAATCCACGTATTAATTTTATGCTAGTTTTCAAATAAGATACTTTCAGGAAAGGTAAACAACTGACAAGGAAATAGGGAAGAACAAAAGCACGTGTCAGTTTGGATCATTTCTGTTCTGTTCAATTGTGAAAAACCTTCTAAAAATAGCCGCACGAAAAATCATGTTGGGTATCAAAGCACTACGTAGATG